GAATACTAATACTTCACAGTGTTGTACCATTATAAGCTGTAGAACAAACGTATTCACAAACAACATTATAAAATCTACAAATGAATTTTAGAACATCATGTATTTGTAAGTCAGAGGCTAATGAATTTTAAAATCTGACTTCATTTCAGTTAACAAAAATTGCTCAATATAAAAACAAACTTTAAATAAATACTTGGGAACAGCAGAATAAAGGTAAATAGAAATGAGAAAATAAAGGCCAAGAAGGTTGGTCCTAAAAATAGATTGCAAATCTAGTTTAAAACTCTTTAATACCCAACACAAAAAAAGAAATGAACTAGATGTCCAAAAGTTACGAATATGTCAATTATTGAGAAGAAACGTAAGTCAATAAGAGCTCGGCTACTAATCAATATGTTGGTGGTTCATGCCCACTCAGTGGCTCTGAGGGGGAAAGACCTAGTAATCTGCTCCAAGTGACTACAGCCTAGAAAACCCAACTGGGCAGTTCTACTGTCACATGTGGTCACTGAGACGAATTCTTATTTTATCTTTTCTTATATCAAAATCTGTTTTTTTTAAAAAACAAGAAATCATGACGCAATTCTAAATACTCTTAACCAACCCAAAGCCCAACACATTGCCATCAAGTCGATTTTGACTCAAAGTAAGGATATAGGACAGAGTCCAAATGCCAACAGGGCTTCCAAGGCTACACAATCTTTAAGGAAGCAGACTGTCAACATATACATCCCCTAAAACTGTCTGATGGACAAAAACCACTGACCTTCTGGTTAGTAGCTGATTATGTAACCATTGGAACACCAGGGCTCCTTAACACTCTACAGGTGCTGGTAAATTACTAACATGTTGGGATTTTTCAAATTACATGTCATAAAAATTAGTTAGGTTCCCAGACATTTAAGAAAAATTGTTATAAAAATTAGTTGGGGAATAAAAAAATTAGTTGGTACTTATTATTCATCCATATCAAAGCTTGTTGACTTAGTCATAGTTGTCCCTATGTGAACTTCAATTTATAGATTAAGAAGGGACAAGCAGCAAAGGGTCCGATATATTTAGCTTTTGTCTTTAAATTTACAATTGAATTTTGTTTCATCTTCTGTCAGGTTAAAATTTAGGTCAAAATTAAGTAACAGTTTATCTACCAAAGCAGATG